GGAAAGGGAAGGGGAAAGGAAAGGAAAGATGGTGAAGATGTGGAGAAAACAAAATCCTTGTGGACTATTGGTGGGACTATAATTGGTACAACCACTATGGAAAACAGTATGGAGTTTCCTCCAAAAATTAAAACTAGAATTACCATTTGATCTGGCAATTCCACTTCTGGGTTTTTATCCAAAGGAAACAAAAATACTGAGTCAAAAAGATAAATGCATCCCGATATTTACTGCATTATTATTACAATAGCGCAGACATGGAAACAACCTAAATGTCCAGAGATGGATGAATGGATAAAGAAAGTGTGGTAGACACACACACACACACACACACACACACACACACACAGGAATATTATTTAGCCTTAAAAAAGAAAATTCTGCCATTTGCAACGACATGAATGGAACTTGGGGGCTTTATGCTAAGTGAACAGGTCAGAGAAAGACAAATACTGTATGATCTCACTTCTGTAGAATCTAAGAAAATCAAACTTGTAAAAGCAGAAAACACATTGGTGGTTGCAAGAGACAGAGGCTGGGTGAGGGCAAAATGGGTGAAGATAGAAAAAAAGGCACACACTTCCAGTTTTAAAGGAAATAAGTCATAGGCATCTCATTACAGCATGACAACTATAGTGATTAATATTATATATTTGAAGGCTGTTAAAAGTAGATCTTAAAAGTTCTCATCGCAAGAAAAAAAAATTGTAACTGAGCAATGATAGTTGTTAACTAGAATTACTGTGGTGATCATTTTACAATACATATAGTATCGAATTATGATGTTGTACATTCAAAACTAAAATAATGTTATATGTCAATTATATCTTAATGACAAGTCTTTTTAAACTGAGGGAAATTTTATAAAGAAATGAAACATTTCTGCATGTTGAGTGCTATCGAATTTAGAGCTGATTCATTAAGATTACATATTAACCGATAAGGAAACTTATTAGAAATCCCAAGATAAATGGATAAAGGAGGAAAATTAAAAAGAAAATAAGTTTTGAAACTTAATGATGGTATTAAAATCTTAAATTCCATCTTGAAAATTAATTAAAATTATTCAAAATTAGAATAGTTAATGCTATAAATGGCAGCTTAAAATAGAACTTCACATATACCTCTGCTGTAAATGAAAATTGCTATGATCTTGTGAGAAAGTACTTTAGCAACAGACATAATAAATTTTATGAGTTTTGATTCCTCCTAAGTTAGTAACATCACATGGGAATATATTCTAAGAATATTAGTCAGAATAGAAGGATTTCTCTTATCATATAAAAACAAGAAAATTGGAAACACTCATAATGCCTAACAATAAAAAGTAGCTAAGTGTACTATAGCATCTTTGTATCATGAAATATTTTAAAACCATTTTAAATGATGATCATTAAGAGTTTCGATAATTCACCAAAATGCTTGTAATTATTTTAGGCTAAAAGGAAAAGTAAAACTACACAAACACACACACACACACACACACACACACACACACACACGATACAGCATAATAATGTAAAAATAAGCACAGAAAAACCTGGGAAAGATGCCAACAAGTGACTTACTATGGGATAGCAAATTTTATATTTTCTAGTTTTTTTAATTTTGTTTTCTATAGTTTTCTTCATTTTTTTAAATTTAAAATAACCATATTTTACTTCTGTAAAGGGAAAAATAAACTATATTCCTTTTTTTTTTAAAGCCTCATGCTCAAATATACCCTCTTCTCCCCAAAATATCAAATAATGGGTAATATTTACAACAATCAGGCCAGGGAAACCAGAAAAGCTGGGAGCAGTCCAGGAGTAGAAGTTTGGCCATGAAAGGATACTAAGAAGGGAAACCCATTTCTGTATTCAGTCCTAGGAAAACCCCTAAGGACAGAATAAAGAGGCAGAGGACAGAGGTCAGGCAGAGACATCAGGGTTAATGGATAGAGACCATGAACACCAACCAGTACAGACATCAGTAACCCAGACAAAAAGACTGAGGAAAGAGGTGTCAGCGAGTCACCTGAATAGGACTGGGGACATTGGAAGCACAGAAAAACTTCCCACTGAGCACACACATTTGGTCCAAATGTGAGAGTCAGTAGAGGTGGAAGGTAAAGTGTAATATGAGAGAGTGTTCAGCATCCTTACCCCACCCCACAGTGAGGCCTCTCATCCACCAACTGTGGAAAGCCCAATTTTGTCCACCTTCCTTCTTATGTCACCAGGTCTCTTCAACCAGAGGTGGGATCCAGATGGCTATCAGACTAAAGAGCCCTTTCACAAATGAAAATACAAAATGTGAAACTCACCAGTCAAAATCAAAGTATTCATTTGAGGTTTCTATCCACACGAACAGCAAAACAACAGACATGCAAAATGAAATAACCAGAAATGGGTAAAATAATTGCTCTCTCTGGGAAGAGAAAAAAGGAAGTTGAATTTAGCTCCATTTATCCACGTTACCTCAACAATATCTGTATATATTTGCCAAAATTCTGTATAGTTACATAGCCATGTATTACTCACCCAGGCTGGAGTCACCACTGCATTCTTTTTACCCCTATGGAATTTTGTATAAGTCTATTATAACATTTATTAAACTGAAATTCAATTATGTGTTTATACATTTATATCTGTTGTGACAGTTTCTTCTCTGAGGAAAAGAAACTATGTTCACATCTCTACATTGCCAATATCTAGCATAGTTCCTTAAATGCAGCTGGCTCTCAATAATTATCTGTTGAATTCATCCACCTCTCCTTCTACCAAATGTTTGGTGACTCATTCATTGAGTAATACATTTATTCTTTGTTCATCAATTCATTTAGTCATTTATCTACCCAAATTTTTGGGAGGGGGCACAGTAAGTGGGTTAGAGAATAAACCTTTTTTTAGTAGCTATTTTGTGCCAATAAAAATGCTAGAGACTTCAAAAGCTTTTATTTGCTTTATTTCTCACTATAGCCATGTATGTTAGGTATTGTTAACCTCATTCTGCAGGCAAAAGAACTAAAGCTCAGAGAGGTAAAGTAATTCACTCAAGGTCACACAGACAAGAAGTGGCAAGGGTACTGCCCAGATCTGTGAGCCCAAAGCCAGGATGGACGATGTCATTGAGGAGGTGTTCAAACTGAGCCTTGAAGGTAAGCCCCTAACACTGAAAACCATGTCACAAACCAGCCATGCCAGAGGTGCCAAACTCTTCCCAGCAATATCGAGCTTTGGTTGCTGAGTTATAATCCTAACACTTCTCTATAGCATAAATAAAAAATTTGTCTCTTAGGGACACTGATTTTAAAAATCTATTAAAAGTAGAAAGAATAATCCCTGCCCTACCTAAATCATGGGATTATTTTGAACAGTAAGAATGAGGATATAAAATGTAACACGTAGAATGCATATTCCAAAAAGATGAGAGACAGGCATCAAGGCACTAAACTACCACTTCTGAGTGTAGAATGATGAAGAGCACAGGATTTAACTCAGGTCTTTATTTTCTACATAAATCATGGGTAGACTTTAAAAAACATGTGTCAAATAATGCCTCTCCACTGCTCAAAATGCTCCCAGAGCTTCCTATTATCCTAGAATATTATCCAAGCTGCCTGGCATGGCCCACAAGGTCTTATGTGATCAACCCTGGGCCCACCCTTGACCTCATCCCATTCTGCATACTGACTACATTCCTGAACTCCAGCCACATTGGCCTGTTTCTAGAGCATAGCCTAATTTGTTCCCATCACAAGAGCTATGTACTTCCTGGTTCTTCTGCCTGGAATATTCTGCCCCCAGATATACACATGACTGGCTCTACCTCTTCATTTAGGAAACAGATGACATTACCCTTGTTCAAAGAGATCTTCTCTAACCACTCTCCCATCCCAGGTTCTCACACATTTTTCTATTTATTACCTTCAAAGCTCTTATCACTATCTGAAATCATCTTTCTTCAATTACTGTTTATTACCTAACTCATCCCACTAGGGCGTAAAATGCAGGAGGACCAGAGGCCTTAGTTGTACTACTCACTGTAGCATATAGTAAGTATTCAACAAAATTGTTTTTGTTGAATAAAACCATTTCCTTATTTGGATTCTTAGGGTTGCCACTCTTGCTCAAATTTTTCAAAGGTTCCCTACTGTTTACACAATAAAAGTTCAAATACTTTAGCCTGACATAAATATGCTTCATAATTTAATTAAAATATTCCTTTCCAACCTCACCACTATTTATTACCTTATATGTCACTAAATTCAACATTGGAAATTCATTTTCCCTAAACACACACCTGTGCTTCTCTATCTCTAGACTTTTGACCACCTTTTACCCTCTATCCAGAATCCCCGGCACCATCACTTCTATATATGGAAGATAACTTCCACAAGTCAGTGACTCCAAAAACAGTAATAATAATGGCTAACATTTGCTGAGTGCTAATTGTGTGCAGGGCCCAATTCTGTTTTCCACATATCACCTCTTCTAGCCTCACAACAAATGCTATTGGTGGATATTATTGTTATCACCTCCATTATTCCGAGGAATCTAAAGCACCTGGATGTTAATTAACCTGCCTTAGGTCCCACTGTTAAAGCTCTAATTTGGAGATAATTAGTGGTGAAGTCATAAGTTGAACCCAGGCAGTCTTTCCCCAGAACTCATGACCTTAGCTCTTAGGCTATATGCTATTCTCCTTCCCCTGAGCAGGAAGGGGGCCTTGAGAATTATCACATAACCAGCTCATGGGCAGATTTGAAATTAGGACCCCAACATACTCCCGGGCCCTGGTCCAAGGATTACATTATACCACCCTGCCCTGAATGCTATCATTCGCATGAAGCCTCCCTTTATCTTTCCCTCTATGCTCTTCTTTATAGCTCTCATGTGACTTGTGACCTCATCCCTAAGTAATAAATATATGTTGAATTCACTCTTCTCAATCTTTACCATCACTACTCTAATCCAGGCCACCAACATCTCCTACCTTGAATACTGCCACTGCTTTCTCTTTGAAGGCACAGACATCTCCCTTCTTTAGTTCTGTTCCTTCCAACGCATCCTCCACAATAATCATTCCAAAACATAGCTCAGGCAACATCATTGGCAAAAAATCATCAGGGACTGTTTATTCTTTACATGGCAGAGGTCAAGTTCTAAAAACCACACATCTGTCCCATCTCCCTTTCTGGCTTCATTTCCCATCACTTCTCCATTCATATCCCCTGCTCAACCTAAAATGAACCTCACATGATTGCTCTTTGACTCCTCCAATACCAACGTATGCCATCCCCTATTCTTTATCTGCATAATTCTTAATCACCTTTCCTCTTCTAAACAAAGTTATTTTCAGCCCCTCCCTTGACACATGGGTATGCGCACACATACACACACAATCATAGCACTTCTCTCATTATATTGACATAGTATGCATAGTCTTTTCTTCAGTAGACTGTGAATTCTTTGAGAGCAGTAAACATGCCTGAGGCACTTCTGTTATCCCCCGTCACTAACATAGAAGCCAAATATCTGGGCAGTAAAGCTATGGGGGACAGGAAAAATACTTCTGCCTAATCAAGGGAGGCCTCCCATTTCCACCCCTCTCCTGGTGCTCCCCATCTCAGACATAAAAAATTAGCGATCCAAAGTCAGAATCTCAGACCCTAGCTGGTCCATGTTTGCAAGTAAGTGAAGGTACGTGATATGGCCATCCTCTTCTCATCTTAGTATGCTCATCATTTAGTCTCTTATGTAGCCCACCAGAAGGTCATATACGGCTTGGAGCATATATGGCTTGGAGCAAGAAAGAGGCCCTCAGTGAGGCTAGGCCACATGTCACCACTCAGCCTTATAAGGGAAAATCAGGCATTAGCCTGACCAATAATAAAAGGGCGCCTTGTTTCCCACTTGCTGTTTTGTTTTTTGTTTTTGTTTTTTTTCTCATAAGCATAGCTCCTTTGGGAAATTCACAATGAGGAGAGAATTAAAGATTCAGGATTTCCTGTAATCCCTAGCCAAAAACATCTAATTGTACCTGAACCTCACTTTTTCTTCAAGGTTCACTAAATGAATAAAAGCAAAAGTGAATGAATAAATAAGTAAATGATATAAAAGAGGTAGTAAGGAAACGAAGAAGTGAAGAATAAAAGTGAAAGTAATCGAAGAAAACAAGCACAAGTTTTGGTAAGGTTAACTCTGGCTCCAGAATCGTGGCAGCCCTTTCATGGGAGAGCTAGAGCTCTAGCATGCCCAGTCCTGGAGACTCTAACGAGCCCTCATGGAGGCAAGGACCAGCCCGCGTTCCCCATATCTCAGAAAGTGTGATCCAGCTCCTTCCCATCTCTCTGTACCCAGGAGCAGCAGCAGAGTCCACGTCTAGATTTTTCCTCCTGTTTGATCTCCCACTGGCAGCTGTATAAGCCAGTAATGTAGGTGACACAGCACTGGTGGTTGAAGACATGTACAATCCATGGTTTATGTTTTTTCCGACTTCTCTTCTCGCTCTTAGCCTGAATCCTGTTGACCTTCTTAAGCATAACAGACTCTTTTGCTGGAATGACAAATAAAACAAATCAGGATCTAGTAGTTCCTTTAAATGTTTCCTACCTCACCATTCTACTGAAAATTCCATGAAAAAATAAATGGATTAAAAAAGTTTATAATCTAGCATAATGCTACTGGATTTGGTGCAGAAGACTAGAGCTTCATCCTACCTTTCTCACTAACCTGTTGAGTGTTTATTGCTGTCATTGCCCCATTCAAGGTTTAGTTTTTCTCCTCTCTAAAATGGAACCATGTTCTCTGTCCTAGCCAATTAATAGATGCTGAAAGCATTACATAATATATACAAATGTGCCTTTAAACTGTAATATGCTTTCAAAATAGCTTGAGAACTTAGAGACATGGATGAGGTATGTGAAAAATACAACCCTTGATTAATAAGTGACCTACATGCAGCTGCCTGCCCTTTCCCCTACTTTCCTCTCCCATATAAAATTGGTGGTTAGTTTCAATTAAGAATGATAGAATATTCCAAATAGCAATGGCTGAAATAATGTTTCTTTTACCGACAAAAAAATAAAATGACAAAGTTAGAAAGAAAAATTATGTGATGTGTGGCTTCACAATGTCATTAAAAACCCACACATCTTCCATCTTGTTCCACTGCAGCACAGGGCTTCCTCCTTAGGGTCTAAAATGGCTCTTAAACTATATCTATCACTCCAAATTCCAACTAGCAGGAAGGAGGAAGGAATGAAGAAGGGTGTTCTGCCTTACTTTAAGGACATTTACAGAAGGCGAACGTAATGTTTCACTGACAGATAGGGGTTTTCTTACTAGATATTGAGGAACACTGAGCATCATTACTGCATATTCTCAACCCACTATGATAGGAGATTGATGTTTTCGTACATAGGATCTTTCAGAGCTTGTATGGAATTGGTGGAGGAAAAATAAACTAAAAACAAACAAACATAAACAGTCTTAAAAGACCTGATCCCAGGCAGTAGTCTCGGCCCTTGAAAACTTTTTGTTGTGCTCTACTTTTTGTGTGTGTATGTGAAAGGCACTCTAGCATTGCAGTTAAGAGTGCATAGTCTGAATGTATACTTCTGACCAAAATGGAGTAACAGGGACTGAAGTTACCCTTCCACCTTAAGTGACTAAAAACAACTGTGGAAAATATAACACAACAGTCAGACAGTGGACAATATTCAGTGAAGGACAGAAATTTTTGAGAGGAAATAAAGGAAGTGAGTATTATGAACGTCCCATTTACAATCTGTATAGTTTCCAGGATGGAACATTGAGAGTGAGAAGCCAAGTGGAGCCTGGCAGTATCCCTGAACTGAGCAGACAGAAATGTGAGTCTGAAGAGGTAAATGTTCCTCCCTGTGTCTCCCCTTGACTCTCCAACTTAACACTAATCAGTGCATGCTTGTGAAGAATCTAATCACCAGGTGACTTATATTACAAAAAATATTAAAGAGAGTCATTCAGTATGAAGAAAAAATTACCCAGAGGGGAGGGGGTGGGAGACAGGGTAAAGGGGGTCAAATATGGTGACAGAAAGAAATCTAACTGTGGGAAGTGAACACACAGTATAAATATATATATGCCTTACTGTTAAAATGTACAGATAAAACTTATTGGATTTCGCTAACCAATGTCATCATAAAAATAAATAAATAAATTAAGAAAATAACCAATAACCAAATAAAAAGTGAGATACACTGGAAATATTCAATATATGAGTGGACATAAAATAATGATTTTCTTATTTATAAATTCACTTCAGAAGATAACGGACTGAAACAAAAACAATAATGAACATTGAAGCTTATAACAATTGTAGACGTAAAATGTATCACAACAATAGTTTAAAGGCCAGGAGCAGAGACATTAATGGTACTGTTGTATAGTACACATACTCTATGTGAACTGGTATTAAATTACTAGAAGGTAAACTCTGATAAGTTAAAGATGTATAATATAAACTGCAAAGTAACCTCTGAGAAAAAGTGTATGTACATAATAAGCCAACGAAAGAGATAAAATAAAATCATAAATATTACTCAATTCAAAAGAAAGCAAGAAAGAAGTAAAAAAGGAACACAGAACAGAACAAAAAGAAAGCAAACAGTAAATGCCAGATTCACACCTAATAATGAACTAGCAGTAATCTCTTTCAATTTAAATGAACTAAGTGCTCCATTAAAAAAAAACATTGTCTAACTAGATTAAAATGACAAAATCCCAACCACACCCTCCTACAAGAAGTTGGTTTGTTAAGATAGCAGGTAGAAGAACAGAAAGAGATATGCGTTGCTTATGGTATGTATCAGTGTTGCATTACCAGGATAATGCCAAGTACCAAGCAAAGACAAAGCCTCAGTCACATATGACAATATGTGTTTACTGCTCACACATCTGAGTAGAACAGTTATCTGTTATGCTGAGCTAGACTGGTCTCAGCTAATATGACTGGGGTGACCAAGCACTGCTCCATGTGTCACTCAACCAGGTTAGCCTGAGTATATTCTCATGGAGATGGAAGCTGTCCAAGAAAACAAGTTCCCACGTGCAAGCCTATTTCAAGCCTCTGCTTTAAGGGCTGTCTTGAAGTCAAAGTCAAAAGTAAAGCAGGTCAACTCATGGTAAGAGAGGACTGTAGTTACATGGCAAAGAGTGTGAACATAAAGGGTATAACTAAAGGAAGAGTGAGAATTGAGGCCATACCACACTATAATTACTTGTAGATCAAAAAAACTTGAGGCAAAAAGCATTGGTAAAAACAAAGACATTCCATAATGATTAAAAATAATTTATACAAAAAGAATTTTCAATTTATAGGCACCCAATCACATAGCCTCTGTGGGAGAAAATCCACAATCAGGGTGGAAGTGTCAGCACACGTCTCTCGATAAGGATATAATAAGCAGACAAAAAAGTCTGTGAAGATATAAAAGATTTTAACAACTTCATTAACAAACTAGTCTAATTAACATTTATAAAACACTACTCAGTGACTGCAGAATGTACACTTTTCAAAAATGATCATGTACTGAGCCACAAAACTGGTTTTAATAAACCTCTAAGAAAATACAACTTCAGAGTATATTTTCCACTACATTGCGATTGCACCAGAAGTCCATAAGAAAAAGATAACTAGAAAATTCTACATTTGGAAATTAAAAACCATATTTCATTTTTATTTTGCAATTACACTTTATATTCAATATGTTAGTTTCAAATGTACAGCGTAATGGTTATGTATTTATAAGCCTTATGCAGTGATCCCCCTGATAAGTCTAGTATCCACCTGGCACCATATAGTTATTACATATTACTGACTATATTCCCTATGCTGTACTTTACATCCCATGACTATTTTAGAACTGTCAATTTGTACTTCATCCTTTCATGTTTTTAACCCAGCCTCCCAGCCCCCTCCCACCTGGCAACTATCAATTTGTTCCCTGTATCTATGAGTCTGTTTCTGTTTTATTTATTTTGTTCTTTAGATTCCACATATAAGTGAAATCATATGATAGCTGTCTCTGACCTATTTAACTTAGCATAATAAACTCTAGGTCCATC